TGAGGGCTATCGGGTGGCATATAAGTCAGTCATCAATCTCATTATCAGGGGAGGGCATTTAAGGTAGCCTCTGTTGCTTAGATTGTTAGCTGGGACATTCAGAATTATTACACAGAGAAACTCTCTCTCAAAAAACCAAAAACACGTGTGTTAGGGCTGGAGAGACGATGTCTCAATGGTTAAGAGCACCAGCTGCTCAGTTCAAGTTCCAGCAGCCACATGATATCTCATGATGCCCTATTGCAATCTGATGTCCTCTTCTGGCATCAAGGCATACATGCAAATATAGCTCTCATATATATAATAAATCTTTAAAAAAATCAAGCAGTGTTGGTTTCTGTTTTGAGGCTAAATAAATTATGCTAATTTGGCTACATATAAAATAAAGTGAAGAGTAATTAATATATATTCTCAAATAATTGGGCTTAGCATACCTTGTGATTTTTCTCTAACCCCAATTTTTGATTTCTTTGATTTTTGAATAATGACTCCAAGAATTAAAGGCTAGAACTTGATATCTTCTGTATTAATTATACTGTTCAGGAAAAACAGTCAAGTGGTACTTAACAAAGCATGGTATTGTCATTAATATGTTTATTTTCACCTCAAAAATTGATTTGCTCCTAAAGTGTATTTATTCCAATACATATAGAACTTTTTTTTAAAAAAAAATTCTTTTTGCTTTTGGGAGGCCCACCACTCAGCTCCCAAATACATACATAGATACAAACATACACACACACACATACTCACAGAGGTTTATTGGGGGGACCCACCACCCAGCTTCCCCCACTCCCCCCGTCTCACCAAGGAGGTTGATTATTATTATGAATGCCTGGCCTTAGCTTGGCTTGCTGCTAGCTTTTCTAAATTTTAACTACCCTTCCTTTTCTCTCTGGGCTTTTATCTTTCTTTCTTCTGTTCTTTCTTACTTCCCTTGTAATTTCATGGCTGGCTGGGTGGCTGGCCCCTGACGTTCTCCTCTCCTTGTTCTCTTGTTGCTTGCTCTTTTTCCTACTTCTGTTTATACTTTCTATCTACCAGTCCCATCTGTTCTTGCTCATGCCTTGCTATTGGCCATCCAGGTCTTTATTAGACCACCAGGTGTTTTAGATAGGCAAAGAACCACAGCTTCACAGAGTTAAACAGGTGCAGCATAAACGAAAGTCACCCACCTTAAAATAATATTCTACCACATTTCCCCCTTTTTGTCTAAACAAAAAGAAAGGTTTTAACTTTAACATAGTAAAACTATATACAACAAAAAAATTATCAAGTAGGAATTAGTTTACAACATTTTCACCATTTGTACTTAGCATCTTCAGAGAAAATAATTCATTATCTAAGGAAAACTGCAACTATAATTATCTAGTCTTCAAATCCATCAATGGCACCAGAAGGATATAATATTATTTAAATAAACAAAATGTGCATTGCAAATGACTTCCAAAACTTTAGAAATGACAGCGACATCTTACTCCCTGGACAGTCACCCAAGGTTCCTTTGCAGCATTGGTGCATCTGTCTTCATTCTATAGGTCCATAGGAGCTGACAGACTTCAATCTAGCAATAATTTTAAAGATTGTCCTGCCTATATTGTGAATTTTTCAGTCACTTTCCTATGTTCTGCAGAATGTGTGGCAGTTTCTTGTGTAAAGCAGGAGCCCTGAAGGATTGTCCTTCCTTGTTCTGGCAAAGTTCAGTGGTCACTTTCCTGTGGCTTCTGCTTGTCTAGTGTGCTTAGCACACTGTAAACAGTCAAGACAAGTTTCTTTGCCCAGTGGCTAACCTTGCCGCAATGAAAACTCATTCCATAAGGAGTTTCTTCAATGCTCATCATCTCTGAAATAAATTGATGCTGCTAGGAGCAGATGTGTATCATTGTCATGAAAACCCTAAATTAGCAAAACATTTAAAATGGTATATTCTGTAGGTCTTTGAAAGATTTGAAGAGCATCTGCCTATCTAAAATATATCTTTATATGAGCTGGAAAACATACCTGACATATCTACAAATTTGATGGTTATAGATGACTAACTACTGACTTGTGTTTATTATCCTAAATAGTTCATAATAGCTTTCAAAAACTAGAATTTTCCCTTACATTTTTAAATGAACTCTTTAGGCACAGTACCTTAAACCAGCAGAAACATACATACAGTATGTTGTAACAAAAATAACCTTAAATTGGTATCAGTATACAAAAATCCTTTAGAATAGAAACATATATAGTATGTTGTAACAAAAATTACCTTAATTTGTATCAATATACAAAAGTCCTTTAAACAAGAGCAAAAACATATATACAGTGTAACAAAATTAACTTTTGAGTTCAGATCTATATACCAAAATTCATGCCAAGGCAAAATATTGAATTTAACTGTTGCTTTTTTCCCTATATTTCTATATTCCCCTAAATTATAACAAATATCAATCATCTGCCAATTAACCAAAAACCACCACACCCCCCTTTTTCTTGGGAATTCGAGCACAGTCTTCTCCATACCGCTTCCTGCTGGCTGTGAGCAAAGACATCCCCCAGAGGTACCTAAGACAAATTGAGATAATGACCAAGTCCTGGGAAGACCAGTTACAATCTGTGTTGATAGGTGTCATCTACTAAGTATCAGGAGGTTTCCCTTCATCAAACCAAATCCATATCCATAGCCTCTTGTTTTCTTTTACAAAGTAGTTTTGATTTTTCATTTGACAAATACATTTTTTGTTTTTTTAAAAGTTAAAAGGCATTTTAAAAATATCTAGGCTGGTCTATTTCCACTGACCCTCTTTTAATTCTGGGCTTTTTTGCAGCTGTCCTTTGCATTTCATCAATCAAAAAATTTAAAACCAACACAATAATATACAGTATTCAGATTCCCTGTGCATTTCCCATCTGTATGTGGCTTCTTTCTTTACTGTCTCTTTAAAGACTTCACTTTTTTAAATGATTTCTTTTTCTAATTGTCTATACCCATTTTCTTTCTTTCTTTAGCCTTATGCACATTGTAAAACACACTTGATAGGGGATGTACTTCTGTATATTTGTTTCTCTTACTGGTTGATGAATAAAACACTGTTTGGACAATGAGGCAGGAAGGTAGGTGGACTAGGAGAAGGAGAATTCTGGGAAAGGTAGGCTGAGAGAGCTTGCCAGAAACAGACAACATGGAGCCAACAAAGGAGAAACAGGTCTGGGCATTCTACGGGAAGCCAAGACCATGTGGAAATACATAGATTTATAGACTGGGTTAATAATTAAGACAGAGCTAGCCAATAAGAAGCCCTAGCTTTCGGCAAACAGTTTAATATTAATATAGTGTCTGTGTGTTTGTTTGGGGCAGCAGGGCGGCAGGACCTGGTGGGAAAAGAACCTCCGAAATACACACTGGAACCTATTAGAGGTTTTTCCTTCTGGACCTCTTTTAGTTCGTATCTTTTTATTTTTTTTTTTTTTTTTTTTGACTGCACAAGCAAACTTTAGACTGATAAGCTACACTTGGATTCTTTGTACAGCTCTCAACTGGTGCTGTCCGATTCAGGGTTCCTGAGAGCCAAGCTCTGGTCCTGGTCAGAAGTTCGTCTCACTAGGAACTACATTAAACCTTCCTAGAGCTCTAGAATGCCAATGCTTGTGATACGGCAGGCATTTTTACTTTATTTTTGTTCCTGCTTAATGTACTAGGTGCTCAAGAGCTCAGTGATTGGCAGAAACTGTCTGGCCAGGATGGTAACCTTATTTTTTTTTTTTTTTTTTTTAAGCTTTCTCATGCTCTAGATGGATATCCAAGCCCACATTGGTTGCCCAATTGTTGTTTTTCATTTTTGATTGTTGCCTTTTAAGCTGTGGCTCTCCTATTCAGCAACTGCTACTCCCCTGCTTCCAGCAGCGGCTAGGCCACAAGAGCTGAAGCCTGAGGGAATTCTGTTCCCTTAGGCACTGACTCTGTAAAAGCTACTAATAAAACTTATTTAAATCTCTGTCCCACTAAAGAACTCAAGATTCAAATGTTGAGGTAGAATCCTGCCTCCCAGAGAGGTTAAATAGAAAGTAGCTCACCAAGCTCACCTCTTCAAGCCTTCCCATGCCTTTTTCTCACCCCTCCTTATAAGCTTTCCTCCACCTGGCTCCTCCCTACAGCTTCCTGTCAGCTAGTTACTGAGCCAGCCTCCTGATCACATCATTATACAAATGTTCCAGAGCAGAAACAAAAGCAACACACCTTAAAATAATAGTCTACAACAAAGATACTATAGAAGTTACATTGTTTCTGAGTTGTAACTGTTGCCCTTTGGAGTTTTATACAGTCCATAGTATTCTATGGTCTATAGTGTTGTATGGTCTGTGCTGTAGAATTAAGACCTAAAAGACATTTGTATCATTGTGGGATCCCCATGATAGTATGTTTGTTTACAGTGTCATTAGTATGACTTTAAATCTGAAATTATTTTATAAATGTCTGTCACTCTTTATTTTTTCTGCATTTACAACTTGAAATACATGATTTTAGAATTTTGGGTTGAATTTAGTGTAGCTTGGTATTAAGGCTTATTACTTGCATGCGTTGTTGTCTGTATAGAGTAGAAGTAGTAAAACAGGAAAAGCATTTAGGCCCATGGAGAGCATCTGTTCCTGTATTAGCAGTTTGTTTTGTGCTTTGCAGAAAGACTCTCACAGCTTCTGAAGAAATTATTTGAAACCCAAGAATCTGGTGACCTCAATGAAGAGCTGGTTAAGGCTGCTGCCAATGGGGACGTGGCTAAAGTGGAAGATTTGCTGAAAAGGCCAGATGTGGATGTGAGCATTTAAAAAACAACTTTGAGGGCTATGCAAAAATAGTAGTTTAATAACTTAACAAAGGTTAAAGTCTGCAAACCTTTTAGAATTGGCTATTTCAGTTGATAAAGACCATGAACCTATTTTTATTCTTCATGTGGATATATAGTATTTTCAGTACTGGTTATTGAAAATACTGTTTTTCTCCAGTACCTATGTATCCTCAGCTTCCAGTATCAAAGGGGTTGGTTTTTTTTTTTTTTTAATCTGTTTCTTTGTCAGTGTCTGGCTGTTTTAATTATTATAGTTTTAAGTACATCTTGAAGTCAGAGTACTGTAATTCTCTCTGCTATATTCTTCCTGCTCAAGATGTGTGGGTGTGTATGTGGTGTTTACAGATAGCTTTTAGACTTTTTTTTTTAAAGTTTTTGGTTCTGTCAGGAATAGTCCCTGGGATACATTGTAGCTTGCTTTGGGCACTTTGGATGTTTTTAATATTCTTATATGAACTTTGCATGTCTTTTTGTATTTATGTGTGCTCTTCAGTTTGCTTTCCTCAGCAGTTTAGTGTTTCATTGTAGAAATCTTTGACCTCTGGTCAAATTTATTCTTAGTTACTTTTGGGTACTAGTTGTAACTGGGATTAAAGTTTCCTACTTCACATGGCTAGCTACTGAGATAGGCCATTGCTGCTAATGCTCATGTCTTGTAATTTGTTGATGACTTTTTTTAACTCAGGTAGTGTTTTGGTGGATTCCTTAGGGCTGGCCCTCTACCCTTCCATCTTTCCCTTCTTTTCCCCCTTGCACTTAACTTCCTTTCCTTCTCCCTCCCTTGGGGTTTCAGACAGGATCTTGCTGTGTAGCCCTGGGTGGTCTTCTGTCACTAGGCTGCTGGGGGAACTGGCATGTGCCCCTTGTCTGGCTTTCTGGTTTTCTGTATAGAAATCATGTCACCTGCAGACAGTGACAGTTTGACCTCCTTTTCCAGGTTAGATGCCCTTTGTTTTTTCTTGTTTGATTGCTCTGTAACTACCTGTGCCAGGTTGAATAAATACATATCAAAGTGTCCATCCTTGCCTTGCTCCAAATCTGCAAGCTTCCCTTATTTATCGTGTTAACTGCTTTTTACTGTATATTACCTTTATTGAAGTGTGTCCCAGCTGTATTCAGTTTGTTCAGTTTTCCACATGAAGAGATACTGGATTTATTGAGTACTTTTTCTGCATTCATTGCGATGTTCATGTTGTTTCTCTGTCCTTCATTTGTTGAGGGATGTAATCATGGTTATTGATTGCAGATGATGAAGCACTTTTTTATTTTTTGCAGGAACTACACATGATTGTGACAATAATCTTGTGAAGGGTTTTTATACCTGTGTTCATCAAAGATATTTACCTCTTGTTTTGTGTGTGTCTTTGTCTGGTTTTTGTACCAAGATAATGCTTGCCTGGTAGTTTGGGATAATAATTGAAGAGAACTAACTTCATTAGTTCTGAGAGGTGCAGTTGAAGGAAGCAAGTCTTTGGGAGGCTGCTACTGATTCCTTCTTGTGTTACTTTCTAGCCAAGTTTTCCATTTTGTGAAGATTCAGGGTTGATAGGATATATGTATCCATGAATTTGTTCTTTGTGGACACATGCTGTTTATAACTATCTCAATGATCCTTTGATTTTCCATGCTGTTGGTTGTAATATTTGCTTTTTCATCTCCAATTTTATTTGAGCATTCCCCCTTTTCTTTAATCAAGCTAAGGATTTGTTTATTTTTTTTTATTTTGTCAAAGAACAGGTCTTTGTTTTCTTGATTTCCTTTTCAGTTTTATTTATTTCTGTTCTTATCCTCTACTTTGGTGGTTCTAGTGTTCAAACCCTTGGCCTTGCGAGCACACACTGTGTTCTTCATGATTTTGTTCCTTCTACAGATTGTGGATTTGGTGTGTTTGTATTTTTGTACTTCCTTAGAGCACAAAGATAGCTGGATTATTGACTTAATTGAATTGAAGTGCACCTAGAAGATTGGTAAAGTAACTCTGTGTGTGTGCGTGTGTGTGTGCGTGCGTGTGTGTGTGTGTGTGTGTGT